CTGAGCCCCCCCTTCACATCAAGAGTCCTCTTCACAGCAGCAGCCTCCCTTCACATCAGCCCCCCTTACCTCAGAATCCCTATCCCCCCCCTTCTTATCAGAGTCCTGCATTATTTTCTTCACCACTGTGTGGCTGTGGAAGCATGGCAGAGACGTGGAGCAGGTCTGTACGGAGGTCGACTTCTGTTCTATTCTGAATGCTGGGGGAGGTCCTGGATGTTGGCCAACCTGGATTGGCCTCGTGTGTTTCCAATGTGCTTCCAGGTCACACGCTTTAGATATGCTCCACTTTCAACTACTTGAGTTGACAGGCAGCTGAAGTGAAGTACCAAATAATCAGGCAAGAGAAAAGTCCATGGCTGAAAGAGGCTTTCAGCAAAAGGTTCAGACAGTAGACATACAAACTGCAGGAATTAAGAATCAAGATGTACTCACTCAGATATACCAAATAGGATTCTAAAGAACTAGCAAAGGCCTACAGGTATGTTTTGTTTAGGCACCATCCCAGTACAGCAAGTGGGCTATAAAAGAAACCTATCAGGGCAGCAGTTCTTTATTCACTTTTTTATTCACTTTGTACACAATTTTTAGCGCAAAAACCCTGTAAAGCATATAACATGCAACACAAATGTAGCTTATTTATGCATCACTTGGCTGTAGATCCTCAAATGATCTCTGAATTCAAGATGACACTGTCCTTCCTTCTGGAGGGTGGCTACTCTTGTTGGTCTTAAAGGAGAACTATGAGGTGAGTGCTTTTCACTCACCTCATAGTTCTAGCCGACCTGTGACAATGAGACTCAGTAGATCGGGAGGTGAGCGAACACATACCGGGTTCGCTCGCCTCTCGATCCTGTCACGACTCTCTGCCGTGACAGGGGGAGGGGCTGGATTCCCCTCTCCCCGCTCCGATCTGCCAGCGCTGACTGGCGGAACGGACGGGGGAGGGGGCGAGTACAGCTGGCTCTGCCTCTAGATAGGCAGAGCCAGCTGTCACGCAGCTGGGCGGATCCCGTCAGCTAAGTCGTGATCTGTTCCGGCTGCGGCGTCTCAGTATACCGCAAGCTGTAGCTCGCGGTATACTGAGCTTAGGGTAACGGGAGGACGCTAGTTTGTGTCCTCCCGTTACCCTAAGGAGAACTATGGGGAAAAACACTGACCCCATAGTTCTCCTTTAAGCATGACCAACTTTGCATAATTTTCACCAGCAATATCGCCTGGGCCCTAAACATAAATACTGTTCTTCTTTCATTTGTTTTTTTTACTCTAATATAGGGTGGACACAAGAATCAGATGAATATCATATATGTACTGTATATAGGAGGAAAATAGAGGAGGACATGCAATGTGGGAGAAGGTATGGGCACACCATGGAGTTTGCTGTATACAAGTGTATTTAAGCGTCTAGGTTAACCCTTTCGCTGCCAAGGACGTATGGCATACGGACCTACAAAAGTGCTTCCAGCTGGCCAGGTCAGTATGCCATACGGACCTGGCATTTACAGTTCTACTATAAGCAACTAGGTGAATCTATAGGAGGAAGTTGGGAGACACTACTGAACCTTATAGGGTTTCTAAACCCTCCGGTTTTTTTTCATATATCTACTGCTAGCAAGCAGTAGATATATGCAAAAAGTTTTTTTTTTTAAACGCTTTAACAGCGGTTTAAACTCACCCCGTCTTCGCCGTGCGCTCATGTCTGCTCGGGCGGCCGCAAAAGAATCTTGGGGCGGGCGCATGCGCAGTTCGGATTTTCGGCCGGGAGACGAGGAGAGACGCAAGGTAAGTCTATGGACAGAGGAGTCAACGCTGGATCGGAATGCCGCCACACCGCTGGAGGGACAGATGAAAACATCAGCAAGGAAGATCGGATTAAGAGACATCAGTTAAGGTAAGTGCTGACATTAACATTAGGGGGAGGGGAAAATAGTTTTTGACTTTAATGTCACTTTAAGGATATTATTGTTGGTGATGCTGTGAGTATAAGGTAGTAGCATATGGGGGAGACAGGATGCTGTAGGTTTCTAACCTAAGGCACCTAAATAGCCAGAAAATGGCCCTGGCTCAAGCCACATGTCAGGGAATTCAACACCCTACCATTTTTCATAAAAAACACTCTCTAGCAACACTCTCTAACAAATTTGACATTACCACCAGTATATTAAAGAAGAAGTATACTGTATTACTAATCAACCTATATTTTGAACAATCAATGTTGAGCTAAACTTAAAGTCATTTTTTAATAGAACATTACAATTTTTGCACGTTCCAACATATTAGCTCTTTTATTTTATCCAAGGAAACTAATCAACTTTACAAAATATAACATATGACCTCTGCATTTTCTTTCCCTGTGATTCGAGAGCTGTCCAGGCCAGTGTAAGCATTGCCCTATACTTACCTTCTTGCTCTAGTATAATTTTTTATTGTGTAAAATATAGAAATCTGTAGAATCACCTCAATATTGGACACAAATCTCCTTAAAAAGCTTTACGGTAAGATCTTAGTCATACACATTAACATGCATTTATAATATCATATCAGACTAATCTATTTTACATATACAGTATATGTAAGCAATTGAAAAGATTATACATTCCCTTTTATTTGCTTGTTAAAAAGCAAAGACTAGTCATTAAGTACTATTATAACTTGTTGTACCAATAGTTATATTCTGAGTAAAGTCACACAAGTATTAGCTTACTCAGCGTATGCAAATCCACTGAAGCCCAGAATAGCTTTTCATTTAAATCACTCTCCACAATTACTCAAGCATTGATAGAGAATGATTCCTATTAAAAAATCTATTTGTGTAGTACCATTATTTCAGTATAAGTCAGCTTTAAAGTAGTATTAAAAATGCTTTCTCTCTGCTATTTGACTCCCCCCCCCCCCCCCCCCCCCAAAACTACCTGGGTGCGAGGGAGGAGATTGAGGGCAGAGGAGCCGTCAAACAGCCTGTGGGGTGGAAGGGAGGGGCGTGGCCTGCCACAGTGCTGTGTGTACGCATGGGTGCCTCCACAGCAGCCACTTACCTGCTGTCGGCACTCATGCAGGGGGCAGGGAGAGACAGGATGCGAGGACCCACTAGAAATTGAGTAATTGAGAAATAAAAACAAAAACAAAGATCTGCAATTAAGAAGGCCTCCCAGCTATAAAAAAACAAAAACCTAACGCTTTAATATCACTTTAAAGTAAACCTCTACTTTGTCAATGCAGGGCAAAGATGCAGGTCCACTTTAACGCTGGCCTACACAACTGTTACTTCCCTTCCCTACTCTGCTTACCCATGGTCCCTGTGTGTTGCAAAGTAGCCAACGCTCCAAACTCGCTCCCGTGATGGACTACAATCTCAATACAGGATTAGTAAACTAAACGTGAGCTTGTAGTCCATCACAGGAGTAAGCTTGAAGCTGTGGCTACTTTACAACACACACACAGGGACCATGGGGAACAAAAGTAGTCACTCTCCAGAAGGAAGGTCAGTGTCGGCATGAATTTAGAGATGATTTGAGGATCTGAAGCTGAGTGATACACAAATAAGATACATTGTTATTGATAGTTAAGGTACTTGAATGCATTTTTAAGATTTAACTCCTGGGTTTAGTGCCACTTTAAGTGATAGTGCTTGGTGCTTGACCACTGAGGCACTAAGCACTGTTACATGAGGACAGAGGTACAACTTGAAGCTTACGCATGGATTTTTCTTTGCTCCTGGTAGCTAAACAGAGCAGTATGGGAGCAAAAGAAAAATAAGCATAAGGAACTTCTTGGGGTCCTATGAAAGTGCACCAGTTACTTTGTCCTGCTTGGGCAAAGCACAAGTTAATTTTAAGATCATCTTCTTTATATCTACTAAAACTTTTTTCAGGGGAAGTATGTTATGGAGAAATAACCATGTGGTGCAAGAATGAATTCAGTAGAATCCAATTAATTGTTAAAATATATGGTTTAAATAAAATAAACACTGTATAAATTAGTTGGAAAAACATTTTTTTTTTTCAGCGCCTAAGACAGAACACCCTGAGTACCGGCATGAGCTCCCTGTCCAACGACATGTTCCTGCATCTGCCCTCAACGTTCAAGCCTCAGACAGAGTCTGCCAGCTTGCAAAACCAAAAATTCGTAAGTCTATTTTTGAAGGCTACGACCCCTACAGAATTTCTCCTGCAGCTAAGCATGCTGAGGCCTCTCCACGTATTGTTGAGCTCTGCACCCCTCCAGCTCACAAGCAACGGCATAAGAAAATTTAAAGCATGGCCTTTACTACTTTGTTACAAAAAAAGCAGTTATTTTCAACACTGTCATCACAGTCCATAGTTCTTGTTTTCTGTTGTCTATATGGAACCTGCATGTAAAATAGTGTGAGCTAAAATTGTTCAAATTAACAAAATTGGATGCACCCCTGAAAGTCTGGAAATAAATTACTAATACAGCCCTTGAGTAATTTGGAGACACTTTAGAAGAGGAAGGAAACACTGGAACCAATTTCTATGAAGGGATTATAGTTCAGCCTAATTAAAACAGAAGATACCTGCATGTCCCACTTTTTTTGCAAAGGCAAAAAATAAAGGGTGTATTTTTCATGTTAGGATAGTGGCGGAGTGACATGCAAATCATTTCTTTATACTCCTGGGCCAACCATACATCCAGAATCATTGTTTTACATCACAGATACAACCTAACATTTTAGAGCCATTTCTTCCAAATTGCATACAGCTGCCTCACGCCTGCGGGCCATCATCAGTGCAGTACATGGAAACCTTGGCTTATATACAGGTGAAACTCGAATAATTCGAATATCGTGCAAAAGTTCATTTATTTCACTAATGCAACTTAAAGGTGAAACTAATATATGAGATAGACTCATTACATGCAAAGCAAGATAGTTCAAGCCGTGATTTGTCATAATTGTGATGATTATGGCTTACATCTCATAAAAACCCCAAATCCACAATCTCAAAAAAGTAGAATATTACGAAAAGTAATCCCACGGTCATTGAACCAGGTTTTTGTGCTTTTGGCAATGTGGGCAGGTGCCAAGTCCTGCTGGAAAATGAAGGCAGCATCCCCATTGAGCTCGTCTGCGGCGAAGCACGAAGCACTCCAAAATCTCCTGGTAGACGGCTGCGTTGACCCTGGACTTAACGAAGCACAGTGGACCAACACCAGCAGATGACATGGCTCCCCAAATCAACACAGACTGTGGAAACTTCACACTGGACTTCAAGCATCTTGCAGTGTGTGCCTCTCCATTCTTCCTCCATACTCTGGGTCCTTGGTTTCCAAATGAGATGCAAAATTTGCTCTCATCAGAAAAGAGGACTTTGGACCACTGAGCAACAGACCAGGTCTGTTTTTCTTTAGCCCAGGTAAGACGCTTCTGACGTTGTTTGTTGTTCAGGAGTGGCTTGACAAGAGGAATACGACATTTGAAGCCCCCAATGTTGTCCCCAACACTTTTGAATGGCCTTTTCCTGACAATCCTCTCCAGGCTGCGGTCATCCCTGCTGCTTGTGCACATTTTTCTTCCACACTTTTCCCTTCCACATAACTTTCTATTAATGTGCTTTGATACAGCACTTTGGGAACATCCAACTTCTTTTGCAATACCCTTTTGAGGCTTTCCCTCCTTATGGAGGGTGTCAATGATGGTTTTCTGCACAACTGTCAGGTCAGCAGTCTTTCCCATGATTGTGATTCCTACTGAACCAGACTGAGAGACCATTTAAAGGCTCACTAACCCTTTGCATGTGTTATGGCTTATTTAGCTGATTAGAGTGGGACACTTTGAGCCTAGAATATTGCACCTTTTCACAATATTCAAATTTTCTGAGATTGTGGATTTGGGGTTTTCATGAGCTGTAAGCCATAATCATCACAATTATGACAAATCACGGCTTGAACTATCTTGCTTTGCATGTAATGAGTCTATCTCATATATTAGTTTCACCTTTTAAGTTGCATTAGTGAAATAAATGAACTTTTGCACGATATTCTAATTATTCGAGTTTTACCTGTAGAACAGAGCTTTTTTCATTCCAAGCCCTGCTTGTGATGTCAGTGAGATCTGACAGACCCCAAACTGTAAAGGAAGAATTAGGAAGTTGGGGCTGAACACAATGCCACCCTAATTTTCCCCATTTATCAAAACTCCGTATTAAGACAGTCACATCAAAATCTCCTGTCTATGCTAGGCAGTCATGGAAGGTAACTCACTTGAAAAGAAACAGTCCAGCTAAAAGGAGTCTTCATAAGGACTTCTGATGAGGCCCTGTCATAAATGGTCAAATCCTAAATCGTCTGGAGTCCAGCTTAAGGAATAGGCATCTGGGGTAGTGAACTTTATTGACTTATAACTGAACTCCACAAAGTTAAGTTTCAATCATATTCCATAAATCCTACGGCAACTGAGTTACTTACCTAAAAAGTGATTATGCTAATGTAGAAGAATTTCCTACTCATTTAGACACCAAACACATATGCATATTACAAGGCTCAGAAGGCTAATACACCACATTAGACCTCCTAGAAGAAAGACCATAATAGACCAGTCATAAGTCAGGTGTCTAACAAATCATAATTTCTCTCTGCTAAAAAATATGCAGGAGTTTGGATTGTGAAACATTGTCATATGGAAAAATAGATGTACCCAGGATAATTGTCAAAAACAAATACATCAGATCTTTTAATTGGTGAGGGTTAGCTCTGCAACACAATCTCCAGGGACAAGAAAAAGCAACTGCTCAGAACTAAAGTATTTAGGAATACTAAGAGTAAATTATGAGGGCCATTGACTCTTCAAGCAACATTAAACTGGACTTACTTTTCAAGTGATTCGAACTGTGGATTACAAACATTCGTATTTTACTGTTGCTTTTGTCTAATTTTCAGTATCTTTTCTGTAAATATTTCTTGTGCCGTTTTTTTCTTTTTCTTTTCATTGAAAGGATATTAAAAAATTATTAAGCTGAACCTCTGAATATTTTAACTAAAACTAAAAGGAGATCTATGAGGTGAGTGATTTTTACACTCATCCTCATAGTTAGAGCCGACCTGTGACAAAGAAGCTGTAACAGGTTGGCTCTGTCGATTGGGTAGTGAGCAGAAACAAGCACCGATCCGCTTATTTCCTGATCGTCTCCCTGCAGTCAGTCACCGCTTACCGCAGAGATACCCCCCTCCCCTCTCCATTCCTCCAGCACTGAGTGGAGGAACGAACGGCGGAGGGGGCAGGCACAGCTGTCTCTGCCTCTAGATAGCCAGAACCAGCTGTCACTCACACAGCTGGGGGATCCAGACAGTATTGTGGGGATCCGTCCTGGCTGCGGTGCTCTCTGTATATCACAGGCAATAGCCCGCAATATACTGGAGCTTTGGGTCACAGGAGGAGGTTAGAATACATCCTCCTGTGACCCTAAAGAGAACTATGGGGAAAAACATTTACCCCATAATTCTCTTTTACGTACTTTGCCTATATGAAGAGGTTACCGTAGGATAAAATCTGCATTCTCATCTGGATGTGACAGTAAGTGTCTAGGGATGCACTGAAATTGAATTTTGACACCGAAACTGAAAATAAAAAATTTGTCAGGCGAAACCGAAAATGCCTTTTTTTTCAATTCTTTTTAAAAAAAAAATTAATTATATTTGGACTATTTTATCTTTATTTTGTATTTCTTTTTCTTTTTTTTAGTTTACTCTCTGGGGAAATATCAAGGGTCTAGACAGACCCCTGATATTTCCCTTTTAAAATAGAAAAAGAGATTGAAGACACAGAGTCCTCAATCTCTTTTTCTGCAGCCCCTGTTATAAATGAACAGGAAGCCCCTATACTGAGTGTTCCTGCCCATTCATACATTGTGGATATAGTGTACTTTCTATGTTCACAATCATGAATGAATAGGAAGTGATACATATCACTTCCCATTCATTCATAACTGGACATAGTAAATACACTATGTCCAGTTATTTACAAACACTCACCGATCCATCCTGAATCGGCTGTCACAGGAGGGGACGGGTGGTGACAGATCACAGCGCTCTCCTCCACTCACTGCTCTCCATCCTGACACAGGAGGCCGAGCCAGGAGGTGCTGAAAGAGAGCTCGGCCTCCTGCAACGATCACAGCTGTTGCTGCCCGGCATCCTGAAAGCCTCTCTGCTCCCTGCTGGGTGCCGGAGCTGCATCGGAAGGCACACAGTCCGAGCCGAGCAGGGAGGAGAGAAGCTAGGGATACACTGAATTTTTGGCCGTCATGGCACTTTCCGCATTTTGCCAAAAGTGCTATTTTCGGCCTAAATGTTTTGGTGGCCGAAATGTTTCGGCGGCCGAAATGTTGGTGCATCCCTAGTACAGACATTAATAAAGGTTAATTTGTTTCAATCCTGTCTCTGCGTGACGGCGAGTGATACAGGTTAGAACCGCAACAGTGGATGCTGTGAATGGTGAGCATTTGCATTAAAACGTGTGGTGGCCACTACGGTGTGTGCGTGTATGCAGATACAATCTCTTTTAAGAAGACTCTACTGTGCTGCACGGTGATTTTAGATTGTATCCCACCTCACTGTAACCCATGTGCTACATCTACATATCTATGCTGCATCTACACATCTCTGCCACTGCTTCCATTCAGTTCAATGGAAACCCACCTGACCCTAACATGTGGGCTTTCAATTGAAAAAGGTAAAGATGCGACATGCAGAGGCACAGTTCGAAAGATTTCTGAAGGTTCTGGCCAGAGGCTGTGCAGCAGCAGGGGACTGGAACGCTGATCTGTGTCTAACAATTGTGAACACAGACAAGAAATGCACAGGCATCATTCTTCTTTTAACAGCATGCTTCTGTTAAAAAAAACTAAAAAAAACACACCACGCGCTAGGAGGTCCAGACCACCTGAGCGCTTTTCACCTGCCCATTCCCAAGTTTCTGGGGCTCAACGCCGCCTTAGGAGCCCCTCTAGGGACCCTTCAGAACCACCATCTAAGTGAGCACCTGCGCTTCCAGATGCAAGGCCTGGGAGGAATCCTCGGCCTAGGCGGAGCCCCAGGGAGCGGGGTGCTGCTGCACGGCCTGCCATCCCCCCTTCCCGCAATCAGGACCCTCTGGCCGCATCACCCAGGCGATGCTCCGGTCGGTGAGGCATGGGACACGCAACTTCTGCGTGCGCCCACCTGTCCCGTGGCGCGGTCGGCGGCCGCTCCACTAGGGTTGCCACCTGTCCAGGATTGACCCGGACAGTTCGGGTTTTGA